AGAACATTAATCGCCAAAACAGGTGGATTGCCAGCATTTTTCCTGTTTACGTGCCTAGCGACCATTCAATAATCTTGAGAAAGTGCACCCCGGGATGGCGTGGTTGTAAGATTGCATGTAAAGGAGGGTAATTTTTTTACCCCACCTAAGCGGGTTACCATACCTACCTGGGGTCCCCCACCTCCATGTAAACAGGCCCTAAGAAATGTTATGGATTGGCATAATCGCCATTTCGAACGGCAACCGAACGCGCGAGTGAGCGACGAAGAGGAAAAGAATGGCTCCCCTCTACTTTCCTCGTACCTTGCTCTGGCGTGCCACTTGCGCGTGACTACCCTCACGATTGATATATATTAGTGTCATTATTTGACTCCAATTATAAAGCTGCATTTTTTACTTTGGTGTTTTTTTAAATTCCTGCCGTAGAAAAGCCTCGGAACGGAAAAGGAATACTAGTTGAAATCTTTGCTTGGGAGAGCCATGACTATAGGTATGCAACAAATGTTGAAAACAGCAAAAAGGGGACGGGAGGAACCAGAAGGTAAATGCTCGAATACGTACGAATGCGCTTACGTAAAAAAAGATATCCCAAATTCAAGCGATGCATAAAAAATCACTCTGAAATGTATCGATCATGGTGGTATCTAGTGCGCACTAATTTGAAAAATTGGCATAAAGTCAGAACAGTGCTAATCGGAACGCAGAGAATTTAGCCTGTTTGAAGGCTAGGTTGGGCTTGGAATTTGAGGGTGTTGCAGTGAATCAATGTTAATGAAAGTTTGACACATCATTATGCACATCAGTCATATATGAACATTACGTCATGAGTTTTTTATAGAGTAGGTCATTTCCGACTTCCCCTGAGCCTCTGATATGAAAATGATTTGTCATTCTCTTGCGAATAAAACTCATTTTCACAAGAAAGGTTGTGCACTTGGCCTCAGTTTGAAAGTGAGCGGTTTTGGAACTCGGAAGTGGCCTAAACTATTGAGCCGTTCCCGTGATATATGAAAACGCGTTTAAAATTTTGCACAGAGTTGCACTTATAATTGTGTTTATAAAAAAAAGCTAGTTTCCGAGATCGCCAAATAGGAAATACACCAAAATTTCCTAGCATGGAAATATATGATATTAGGCAGCATTGTGACGATACTTTTGCGTAATTTGAGTTGTTTGGAATTTGTTTATTATTCGTTCATTTATCACGACTTTTGAAACTATAAGGTTTGAAACTTATTTGCGTTTTATTTGAATTCAAACATACAGAATTTTTTTATTCTTACGAAGATTATTTGCCAAACACCATACTTTTTCCTTTTTTGCTTTAAATGGGCTGTAGTGATAATGATGATGATAACTTTATTTACGTCTCAAACTTCTAGCTTAGCAAAAGTGCTGAAACTAATCGAGGAGACATACTATGCTATTAGCATTTTAATTTTTGGTTCATGAATAACTTTCCGATCAAGCGTTGTTAATCAATGTTGTTGTTGTTGTTGTTGTTGTCCTGACTTCTGAAACAGGCCTACTTAACGCCGGAACCGTTTTTGTAATTCCAGACCTGTATAGGCTTCTAGTATAGATTAAGAGAGTTTCACGGGATAGTTAGGAAACTTCCGGATTTTTAGAGATGTGAAGGGATTGTTTAGAGAATTTTGGTGAAACCGAACATTTTTGAAGAAATTTTGGAGACATTCTGGAAAGATTTTTTAGACCATTCAAAGAAATTTTTGTAGCTAAGACTAAACATCCACGTCACTGTTAAACGTATTTCTTAGTAACCAATTGCTCTCTTTCTTTCTTAACCATCCTAAAGTCGTATTATGAGGTTACGAAAGAGAAACACCGAAAAAAGGGGAGATACGCATGTGGCGGAAAAGTGGCAACGTAAGCTTCAAGCCTTCCTGACCCATAAATCGTGGTTTATCCCTCGCCAGTAGAGGTGGTTTTTACGGCATTAACTTTGGTCAGCAAACCAAAAGATTATCCTTTCGAATTGTTTTAAACTTGTCGCGTAAGTTTTGTACGTAAACTGACCATCATTCCTGACTGAAAAATTAAATGCGAAAGATAAAAAATGACTTTTGGTAGAAGGCGTCTCTGAGGGATTGAGGGCGAAGAGGGAAGCGAAAAGCGGAGACAACTCACTTTCTATTCTCTTCTATCGCTACACTCAACCGAATAGAAAATATTTCTGTTATAAGTATGAAGAGACAAAATAACAACAATGATAAATGGAGGGAGCCGCCACCAATCGAGTTTCTTATCAGTGGCGGATCCAGGAAGGGGCCTGCCCCCCCCCCCCTTATTTTTAGAGCAAACTGAGGCCCGAAGGTCCAATTTTTTTTTTAGACCGGGTTCCACCCCACTTATCTCGGCACTTATCTCAGGGTCTGGATGACCAGGCCCCCCCTTAACTGAAGGTCTGGATCCGCCACTGCTTATACCAATGATAGTTATAGCAAAAGCATCACTGAGAATATCAGAGAAATCTGGGAAGAATACAGATACGTTTTTCTTTTTGTTAGTTCAATAACCACACAGCAGTTCAATAAGTACACAACAGATCAATAACCACACCAGTAGTTCAATGACCACACATTAAAAAATAAAAATATATAGCATTAAGTAAGTGGTAAATACTCATTTAGCTATGGTACGAGAACTAAATAGATAAATAGCTATGTTACACTGTTATTAAGTTCTAGTGAGCTCACTAATATAGACAGGAACATAGACTGATGTTAATTTAAAAATTTTTAGTCAGCTCAGAAGGTCTGTCATTCTCGTCAGGGGCACAGTGAACAGACCTGGAAAGCGAGTCAGCGCCAAAAAGTGAAAACACCGACTCGGTCCGGAGAAAACTTCAACTAGAAACCCGACAAAGCGCGCGTTGATAAAGCAGAAAAAAATAAACAGTTAACGGTGGATGAAACCTTGTGTTTTTACTCTCTTTCCGCAGATACAGAGCACTAAGAAAAGCTAGAATTAAGATACATCATCAGCGCTAACAAGATATGCTGATGGAGCAAAAAATTAACAAAGTAAACGGTGTCAGACCATTTTGAAAAAAGCGATGCAAAAGCACAAGTACAAATTAACCGTAGGTATACCGTTCTGTAAACCTCATACATGAGAAAACGAAAAAAGCAGCTACGAGTAAACTGGTCGGCGTCAAGTGGTGTGAAATTAACAAGGAGTGGTTTATAAAACTGAACTAGGCAATGTAATGAACAACTGAAAGAAATACATTTCCCCTTCCCCCCCCCCATCATCCCTCTAAAACGTGCCTTACCCTTTCCCCTTAGGACGGCCTGATAATCAGGCTACTATCCAGTCATGATATTGTTAATTTTTGAAAGACAAACCCAATAAACGACGCCTCCGTGAAAGTAAAGCATGAGCGCACCGCAGTAAACGCAAAAAAATTCATGTTATTTGCTTTCTCTAAAACCCAAGAATCGCTTCTTTTTTCAACAAGAAAAAATCCAAATATAGTTAGATATCATGCTTATCTTTTCCTTTAGGATCACTCTATTTATCTTTATGCTGGGTAGGCAATATAACAAAGGAAGCTCTTAGCTTATCAAAAATATTAGAATGTTGCTCAACCCAGGGAACTCTTCTGGAAATAACTCTTTTATTTAGTTCACAGCCAAGGTGATACATTAACTTTCTTCACAAGAGTCAAATTAAATTTGAAGGCCGACCCAACGGTTTAGAAAAGCTGAATTGATTCAGACGCCGATCTTTACCCCAGCTATACTATGGCCCTACCCTGGGTACCAGAGGTTTTTCTCGCGTGCGGAGGGAATTTTCGGTGTTGGCCGAAAGCCGAAGCCACGAGCGGCGAAGCTGTCTACAAGAATCCGAAGATTTTTTGAAACCACATATTCTCTAGCCGGATATTCGTGTGGATGAGGTCTTAAACTACGGTGGAGAGTGTTTTGAACAGATGTGGTTTCGGTGAGCGGATTCACTGTTTTCGCGTGGACGAAACTGGGCCGATTTGCGCGGTTTCATAAATATCTGGATTCGTGTGGACGTGGCCTAAATTCCCTGGAGACATATCAAAATGCGTAAAACCATATTCCACGCAAAATTGTACATTTGGTTCCGCTCATATGAACTTCGTCGTCTGAATCAACGCCGGTCCACAGCCGTTATTCCTGGCAGAGCTAAGTGTAAAGAACGGCTGAGCCGATCCAGACTCAATTAGCTGCTTCGTATTGTTTCAGACGTCGTATCCGTACTTCTCATGAATTTAATCCATTGAATTCGAACATACGGCGCCGGTCTGAACAGGTCTTTAGACACATGCAGAGTTTTGCTGATTTCCAAGGGCAAGTGTTCTTAACGAGAAAAATCGATCATAATTGTCGAAATTAGTGAAAGCCTTACGGAGACTTATTGTGTCCTCAGAGGTAGGAATGTGTCTATCAACGTCGTTTATCTTAAGGGCTGAGTATTTTGAATAGTTTTTCTAATGTTAATGTTACGCTATGCAACTTTTCAAACACAATCTTCATCACAAAGCAGTGAGCCAAAAAAAAACTATTTAGGACTTGAAGTGTCTCCCTGTTGTGTCGCCATAGCCTCCCACGTAGACGTTCTTAGGGGTTCGTCAAGTGTTCCTGTCCCACTAACGTCTGTTGACTCGAGCAGCAAAAAACGTAGACCAATCACAGCACACTTCCAGCTCTGGGTAGTGCACTTTGGACCTTGAAAAATTTCCCGCGAGACTCAGCTCCAGAACCGATCAGAAAGGTCTCGAAAGATTAACCCTGCGTGGGAGGTTAGTGTTCCCATGGAACCGGTGGTGCCAAACATTATTTTCAGCTTCAATCACTGAATTGTCTTGTTATTTAATTTGTGATTGATCAAAATTATTTATGGTTTGGGCTTTGGTTCACAAATTTCCTGCAAAGAGTAGTCTTCCCTCAAATTATTTGAAATGTCATTCGTAAAACAGCACAGGTAAAATAAGTACCGTTTTAAATTTATGATTGATAAATAATCCATTCGACAGCTCTTTCAGACCCATTGAGCAATGAAACTCGGCGCCAGTTCAACAACCACTTGGCGGGAAAGACTCGATTTTGGCATCGAAGGAAATCACGTGCAACCAGCCCTTTGTAATCAGCCACTGACTTCCATATGCGCCTGCAATTACGTTCATGAGGGAACTTAGAGACCAGCAAGGCCGCACCGAGGAATTGGATGAACTGGTCACTGTGGTCATGATACTCTACAAAAGACTGATAAGATTCTGAAAATGCAATGGCGGAATTTTTGGTATCTTCAAAAATTTTTTGGCGAAAGCTCTCATCTTTCGGCATGAAAAAGGCACGTACCATCAACTTCTCCTTAACATTTACGTACCTTGGCCAATTTAAAAACTCTGTAATAATGACCGAGAAGGGATTACATAAGTTTAAGAGTGGCTTGTAGGTATCCAGGATGCTGGGCAGAGGAACATAATCTGCAATGTTGGAAGTTGTGACACAGTCATACTTGTGGTCTGGGGGAACAAACCTTACAATCTCCATGCAGTTACTCAACAGAAAGTGAAACTTGACTCGCCCGGTGACAAGCTTTAAAGCGGATTGTTTAAGCACGTGATTCACATACTCGCTATACATTTTCAACAGTGACGGTGAGTAACCTGCAAATGAAAGTATGCATGACTGAATTTTGTAAGAGAAAGCGCTCTTGTTGTGGTTTACTAGGAAGTCGGAACTCGTGAGTGTAAAATTTTCTCGAGAAAGCTTTTTTCGTGATTTTTCAAGCAGAAGAATCCCGTTGGCAAACCCATCAGATGCCGATGCTTTATGTTCCTTAGGAAGTTCTTCTACGTAAAGTTCCATTCCCTTTCTGTCGTCAAAGTTCGTAAATCCCCTGTTCCGAGCCTTTGTTATCCAGTCTCCTTGGCGTGAACTGAGATCAAGCCAGGTGCGCCACACCTCAACGAGTTTTTGAAACTGCTCCCGGTTCATCTGCATTGTTCCTTTTGTCGGTTCGTCAAGATTTGATGCCTCGATCAGTTCTTGCAACATGGAGATCACAAGGCAATAGTGCTTATCGTTGAGCCGCAAGGAATACCAGATCTGCGTCACTGAACTTGCTACGTCTTCTCCTCCTGTGAAGTAAGCAAAAATGCAAAATCAAAGTGAAATAGAACCAAATAAATTGGCCGTCATAAATCAGCTCAGTAAATCAATGAAATCAAGACCTTTAATTCACTTTGGTTATGTTGGTAGCTGTGGTTTAGGGTAAGAAACCCAGTCTTCAACGCAACCGATTGCATGCCTCGTAACGCTAAGAATTCAACGTAAATGTACTAAACAGATTAAAAGAAACCGGGCATAGCAATTTACCTTGCAGTTACTGACAGAGATATCTTGAAGGACAACAATTACCCTTAAAAAGGATATACAGTATTAGAACAGTCCTAGCGAGAGTACAGGCACAAATGTCGTTTAAAACGAAGGTCAACTCCTCTTCGTAAGTTTCCGAAAGGTTACACAACGACAGCAAAACATTTCTGGGATCGCCAACTCCGCAGGCAAGAACCGACAAAGGCTTGGAATAGCAACAGTCTTCGTTCAAGGGAAGATTGATGACGTCTGTAGCCGCATCTGTTACAGAAGATCTTGGTAGTCGGTGTCGAACATACAGTATCACAGCGCCAACACTGATCTCTCTTGAGCATTGTCGTTTTAAATTAGAATTGCTCGTAGTTGGGTCTGATCACTAAATAACGAATAGAAGTAACCACAAAAGCTCGGATACTGGAAATAATTCTAAATATATTTACATGCACTCTATATAGTTTTTCATTTGGTAAAACACACGCAGGGAGGCATTCCTTAGAACTTTCCCAACTGTTTTACGGAATTTAAAACTAAACTGCGCGCTAGTGAACGTTGCTTTGAAAAAGTTTGCCTTGGTAAAACAAGAGTAGTGAGGAAAACAAACTTGAAAACAGTCCGAAAATTCGGCTTTTTTCTTACTCTTCTTGTGGAGAGTCTTAACGCAAATTCTCGGAAAACAAATGAAATTTCCTAGAACACCCCCAAAAAAACCAGCTGAGAAACGAACAAAAAAGACAGCTGTCCATGGCTGCCACTGCCCAGGTGTTATGGTTGTCCGCATGCGTACACATTAGGGTTTAAATTATTTGTTTCTCCTAATATAATTTTTGGGTGTATTAAAGAAAGTTCTAGTTTTTATGACTCGAGGCGTCAGTTAAATTCCTAATCTTTTTCAGAAACCCCTATATGGGACACAAAGGCGTGGGCTCTGAAATTTATTTTCGTTGTACCTATAATGCAGGTTAGGAAATATTTTGCAGATATATCACATGGTTTTGCCTGCCATCAATTCGAGATATTTTGAAAGACTATTAATTTGCTTAGTATTAAAATTATTCTTGCCGTTTTCTAACGTTAAGCGCCTCAAGTCTAACCTTTTGAACTGTAAAATTCATCTTTGAAATGACCTTGATTACAATTTCAACGATTCTGACCGAACTGGTTGTTTACAAAGCATTTTTTTTTCAAAAACTGTTGTTGATTCCCTTATTTAGCCTCTGGAATTTTCTGATAGGTTTCATATCCTTTGAGTATATCCTGGGAGGTACAGCTGCAGCTAATCAAAACTAGAATCTCTAGGGCCTGAAAATCATTGCCTTTACTCTGGTTTTGTAAACTTTGAATAGTATTAGAAACAGTAAACGGCTCCTAACGGGAGAAAGACCGAAGACATGAGACCAAATAGAAGTTAAAACAATAAACCTATTCGACTAACTCAATGTTGTACCCAAATTCAAACCCTTTGGGAATATAACGTTTTGTTTCAGGAATTTCCATATCATCTAAATGTGAATGACACGTTATAATGCAAATACAATACACAAAGAATCTTAACCCCAGGAGATTTGAATTGGGTACAACATCGAGTTAGCCGAATAGGTCTATTGGTAAGATTTATTCAATCTCTCCATATATGGATTTGCATCACAAACCCCCTACGGGGTCTTGCAATGATTCCGCCCGCAAATTCCCGTCCTACCCCCGGCTTTCCAAATCTTTCCAATAACACTTGTATTGAACTCCAATTTGAAAGGAGGGGAAAATATAAACAAAACTAAGGCGTGAAATAAGATTAATATTCAGACTTCGTGGTCTGTGAAAAATTCTGCAAGCTCATTGGCTGATTGGAGTGAGTTAATGGTCTATGCCGACACAGGATTTTCTGGGGTTCATGAATGCTCCCACTCAGTTACCTTTTCATAAACTGGTAATTGTATTTTATTAAATTTCGTCGCTATTAGGACATTCCGTTGTTGCTAATTAAGAATTTATTGCTTTTGCATAGATGAGAACTCAGTTTTTCCACGAAAAAATGTTGAAAAGGTCCAATAATCGGGTTCTCTTGTTTGTGCTTTAATGAGAAATAAACTCCCAGCTGGTTGTAGAGAGAACTGAAAATTCTTCATACTGCACTTGGGCACGCCTCATGAAGTAATTAAATTTTCAGTTTAGTTCACAGCCAGAGCCTACGTTTTTTGCCAGTGCAGAGGCTCACATTGGTCTTTACCACTATTAAACATTTTCCGCCCCTTTAGACAATTTTTTTTGTGATTGATTATTGGGAAAACTGGAGAAAGCAAGAAAGGTTTTGCACTTGGTCTCGTTTTAAAAGTGAGAGTTTTCGTAACTCGGAAATGGACTATTCGCACACGGACTTCTCTCGGCAAGTGATCGGAAAAATATGCAAACAGCCTAAGGGTTTGATTTCAAAGGAAGTTTTTCCAGTTGAATTTTACAAAACATCAACCAAACGAGTAAAAACCATCGGGTGACATGAAATGCCAGTAAGATTGATCCGTTAAAATCTAAAGCCGACGTCATTTGGTAGCCGGCAAGAGGCAAAAAAGAAAAAGAGAGGGGTCAAGTATCTTGGTCGTGTCCCCTCTTCATTTGACTTTGGATTTAACTACAAGTGAGGGGAGTAATGTGCGCCTTTTAATGGGTTTAACAGTTAGCCTTGAAATTGTCCGAAAAAAGGTGATTGTATGCGAGGTGTAAAAAATGAAAGGAATTAAGCCGTAAATCGTGAAAAAGAGCTGACCATATCTATATTTACTGACCTCAATCTGTCAATTTGAACTGTATGTCTCGATCGCCTTTAAGACTGTGAAGTGTCCTTTTTCATGCCTATTCTAAAATATCTATTACAAAGCGGTTTCATCCTGGAATGACCCTGAAAGACTTATGAAATTTTAAATCACTTCTCAGATTCAAAACGCACCCCAGAATATAACACCAATTCCCAGAATCCAAAAATAAGCCCCAGAATTTGGTTTCTGGAAAAGGTTTTGGATAATGGGACACGTTTCTGGATTCTGGGACGTGCTTTGGATTCTGAGAAGTGCATGTTTTTGTCCCGACGAGTCACCGTATTTAAACTGTTTTCAGCAGGAACCGTAAAGGGAAAGGAAATAATAGTGACCCAAGTCCGTTTTCAGGCTAGAATAAATAAATGAATGAAAACTATATTCACGTGTCAAGGTATCTGGGAGGATACAGACTATCTACTTACATAATAAGTATCCCTAATGAGTATATACATTCTAAAATCTTCCTGACACTAAAATTATAAAACCGATTACATACACAATAACTTTCTACAGTCGGATAACGACTGTACCAGGGACGTATATGTATCAGTTTACTAGTCCGGATAAGTCGACTTTCCTCCTATTTCTCTAGAAATAATTAAGACTTTTGTAAGTTTTCGGCAGTTTTCCTGGTAACTTGGACAAGATAAGAGGCCCCAAGTATTTTACAGAGTGTCTACCATATGCAACAGTTTCGAATTTAGGTAGTTCGAAATCATTGTTCCTTAAGTTATACTGCGTGTTCTTTGCATTGAATAATTTAAAGATGTAAATAGGCGCGAGACCGTGCTTTACTTATACATCATGGAGGCTACGTCCTGTAAACGCCTATTATACACTGTCGGTAGCCGGACGCGGTCAAGTAGTTCTTGATAAGATGCTGAGCTGTCGTTGTATACTGCTCTTAGCGCTCTCTCCTGTATACCGCTTGACCTTTCTTCGATCTGATGATTTACAAAGGTGCCAGACTAAGTCACAGTATGTTAGATGGGGTAGGATTGATGACTTATATAATGATAGTTTAGTATTGCAAGGGGTTAAGTTGGGATAAGGGAAAAGAAGTGAGAAAGAGCATGGAGACGGTAAGAGGGAAAGGCGGGGAGGGAAAGGCGGGAAGGTTACGTTACCCGTTAAAACCGCGCCCAGTTAACATCATTATACATTTAAAAATCTGTCCTAAGTTAACTTCTCAAGAAAAAACATGAAACAATTACAGAAGAAGATGACGGTCTGGCTTTCTACTTCCTCGCTGTCATCAACATCTTGGACATTTCCCCGACCAAATAGCAGTACACGACCACTAACTAAATCTAATTTATATTAATGGTAAACTGATTACAGTGTACTGAAAGTTCACTCTAAGAACAGAGGGAAAAGTACCGCTTCACCGTTATGATTGCTGAATAACCCATTCAACGGCTCTCTCAAAACCATTAAGTAATGAAACTCTGCGGCAATTCAGCATCCACTTGGCGGGAAAGACTCGATTTTGGCATCGAAGGAAGTCACGTGCAATCAGCCCGTTATGGTCAGCCACTGATTTCCATGTGCGCCTGCGAGTACGTTCATCTTGAGGCTTATTGACCAGCAAGGCCGCGCGAAGGAACTGGATAAACCTTCCACTGTGATCATGATACTCCACGAAAGATTGAAAAGCTCTGGAGTAAGCAACGGCGGTATTCTTAGTATCCTCAAGAACTTTTTGGCGAAAGCTGTCACCCTTTGGCATGAAATGGGCACGTACCCTCACCTCTTCCCTTGCATCTGTAAGCATAACCCAATTTAAAAACTCGGTGACAATAACAGAGGAAGGATTGCGTAAGTTTAGAAGTGGCTTATACGCATCGAGGATGCTGGGCAAGGGAACAAAGTCTGCGATGTTGGAGGTTGTCACACGGTCAAACCTGCGGCCTTGGGGAACAAACCTTACAATCTCCATGCAGTTACACAACAGAAAGTGAAACTTGACTAGCCCAGTGGCCAACTTCAAAGCGGATTTCTTGAGCACGTGTGTCACATACTCACTATACATTTTCAGGAGCGACACGAACTGACCCCACTGGCGCACTTCATTGTAGTCCCAGCCGACAAATGGAAGGACAGATGACTGAATTAAGTAAGAGAAAGCGCCCCTGTTTCGGCTAAGTTGGAAATCGGAACCGGTGAGTGTAAAATTTTCTCGCGAGAGTTCTTTTCGCGATTCCTTAGGTAAAAGAAGTCCGTTCGCAAACCAATCAGATGCCGATTCTTTATGTTTCTTGGGAATTTCTTTCAAGTAGAGATCCATTCCCTCTTGTGCGTCAAAACTTGTAAATCGCTTGTTTCGAGCCTCTGTTATCCAGTCTCCTTGGCGTGAGCTGAGATCAAGCCAGGTGCGCCACACTTCAACAAGCCTTTGAAAATGGCCCTGGTTCATATTCATCGTTCCTTCTGTCAGTTCTTCCAGACT